GAAAGGAAGTGGTGCAGTGCTCGGAGTGCTACTAGGACAAGTTTACTGCTCGTAGGATCAAATCCCATGCGGGTCAGGCCTGACCTCTAACCTTCTTCAATCGGCTGAAGAACATTCAAGCTGAATGATGAGGCAAAAAGCTTCTCTGGAAGCTGCCTAGTACTCCTAACTGGTTCCGAATGCGACCCAGCCATTCAAATACCTCAACGACTCAGTCATGAGTCAACTACATCCACGGCGTTTTCACTTTCTTCTCTTTAAGCGATTGATGAGGCAAGTGTTCCAGCTTTTGACTTGACATCTCGAAATTCATTTGAAAAATTACCATGAACAGATGGTTTTGACGATCCTGACGTGGTGGGGTGCACTTCTCGACCATCCATCTCGGCCAACTCCGAATTACGCAGTCCTACCGTCTCCTCGGCTGCCTAAACATAGGAATGAATCATGGCCCTCAAAATGAAACTTTTCAAAAAGAAAGAACCAAAGACGATAGAGACAGACAAGAGAACAATCGAAAACTTGAAGGTAAAAAATTAGCAAATGGTGGAGCCAGTAAAGACCACAAAATCATCGCTCAAAGTGTCTACCATTTAGTTCATCAGAGCGTCAAACCAAACTTCTATTGCAGTAACTTCTTTTTCCGACTCTTTTCCGTTGATGAAAAGGGCGCAAATAAATTTCGATTACGAATGAAAGTTATCGATTGTGGCTGAATGACAAATAGACAGATGGGGACGGCAAAGAGAAAAGGACTTTTCTGCAATAAAACTTCCCTAAAGCCAAATATTACGAAAACACGAACATCTGGGGCACACCCGTTTGGACAGCTTCCACTAATTGCCGTTGATACTACTCTGACCTTTCCACCAAAACCAGATCGAAAAAGAAAAAGAGTAAGATAGAAGAAAAGAGTATGGTGACGTCTAGAGCTGATGCCTGCCGTACAGTCCTTGCATAAATAACTCATTCACTTGGAAATTCTCAAATATTACCATATAACCAAGGTGATGACCAAAAGGGGAAAAGGGGATAGGTAGCATGGCGAGAATTTAAATCCCTCAGATTAATTGGCCTAAATATTCTAGTAGAACCGTTCACATTACGATAGATTGGCTCCTCGTCATTCGACTGTCAAACAAAAGCATGTACATGGCGCATCCTCAAAGNCTGAATGATGAGGCAAAAAGCTTCTCTGGAAGCTGCCTGGTACTCCTTACTGGTTCCGAATGCTCCCAGCCATTCAAATACCTCAACGACTCAAATATGAGTCAACTACATCCATGGCGTTTTCACTTTCTTCTCGTCTAAGCGATTGACGAGGCAAGTGTTTCAGCTTTTGACTTGACATCTCGAAATTCATTTGAAAAA